TTTCTGAAGCAGATATGAATCTCGAGCTATTGATGTTTAGCTGCCTATGAATAAGTCGGAAAAGCATTTTTAGGCGTGCGAGTTTAGCCTGATTTCGCAATGTTGGTAGCCCCGCTCTTGAGATCAGTTCAGAGGGTGAGTCGAGCAAACTGTATTTATTATAGGTAAATCTAACTGCTTTCCCTTGTACCCCTTCTAGCTTTTTAATTAGTTTCTTTGTTGCCAGGAACCAGACTAAGTTGGCATATTCTAATAATGGGCGAATTAAGGTTTTATAGGCTAAGAGTTTTGCTTGATGTGGTGTTGAACGTAGTCATCAACTTAGAAAAAATAATCTTTTTAAGGCTGAACATGTAACACAGTTAACATGCGCCTCCCATCTAAGATCATTAGAAATCACTAGTCCTAGGTACTTCTGCTCTTTTAGAGATGTTAGCGGTGTGTTGTCAATAGTGTAGTCAAAATATGATAGCGTTGATTTACGCGATAGTCTTAACAAAGCTGATTTTTTTACATTTAGGGTTATCTGCCATTCCGTGCACCAATTTAATACTGATAATAGGACATTTCGTGCACCAATTTAATACTGATAATAGGACATTGCTAAGGGCAATATAGTACGAAGGAGAGTTAATTTTTTTATAAATAATATAATCGTTGGCAAAAAGTTTGATGTTTACTCCGATGGACTGGGGCAAATCGGTAATAAATATAAGGAATAGAATAGGGCTAAGACACTGCCCTGCGGTACGCCTGATGTAACTTTTGATAGCTCCGATGTTTGCTGGTTTATTTAAACGAATTGCGTTCGCTCGGTCAGATATGAATTATTAACTTTTGATGCGAAATCCGGTCGAATGCTTTTAAAAAGTCTAGTGAAATAAGGTTGATCTGCTTTTGATGGTCAATGGCCAAGGACAGCTCATGTATTAATTCAATGAGTTGCGTAACGGTAGATAGGCCTTTACAAAACCCGTGCTGAAATGGTGACAAATGTTGTAGAGCATTTCATTGTGCAAAGCTTAGTATGCTGTGATGCGCGCAGGAGTACTTTTCAAACTGGCAAAAACGATCTTCCTGAGACATACGAAAAACAATCATTTTGGCGGCATGCTTCACATGAAGCTTTTCAAGAAATTCAAAATGACAAACTAATAATATGTGGGGCATGTAACCGATGGCTGATATGTGGGGTTTACCGTCCCAAAACCCCTATATTATTATGAGAGACAACGTAGTGGAGGGCTCAGGACATGGTGACCACCTGGGGTTCTTTAACATGAACACAAATCTGAGCACACGGCCTACAGCATTTTCACCTCCATTGAAAATGCAGCCGTCACAGCTGGGATTCAATCCTGCGACCTGCGGGTCAGCAACCGAGTACCTTAGCCACAAGACCACCATAAAGGGGCATGTGGGGCGTGCAAAACGTTGGTACTTACGGCACACACAAGCAGAATTAATACAATTCACTCCACAAAGATTTTGTGCATCTCTAAGGGAAAACAAAGAGCGATAAATTAGCCCCAATGTGCATGAGGAAACTGTGGTTTATGAAAAGCACAATATTGCATATTATTTAAAAGGGGTACTGACACAAAATTTTGCGGCTAAGATAGGCTGCGGGATCAATTTCATGAACACATGTATAGAATCTGCAAATAACAAAGAGATAAAATGCTCAGCTAACCAACCAACCAATCTTTTGGTTAGTATAGAGAGAGAGAATAAGGTTGAGTGAAAGGCAGGGAGCTGGTTGGCATAAAAAAAATTAGGGGAAGCTTAAGCTCTGTCTGAACACAACGGCAATATCTGCAAGCACACATGTTCATGTGCACAAACACAAGACATTCAGTAAAGGTACCCTTCGAAAGCACTTTTATGACAACAGTGTTTTGCAAGTCCAGAGTACAAGTGAGTATTGTGCGCTGGTGCACTGTTGAAAGAAAGTAACCAGTGTCCTGCACCTCTGTTCTCTCTCCGTTTGCATGCGATGAGTTCACTCACTGCCTTGAAGCTTTCACTCCCAGCAGTCAGTCATTGTAGATGCACAAAATCCACCACAAGCGTGTCACCAGCCCCATTTGAGCGAAAGTCCTCACACATGTCGTTTTTTTTTTTTTTCCAAAGCATTAAAGCACATGTTTACATGTGCCCTTAATTATTGATAACTAGCGATGCACCCGCCACATGTTAGTAAGGGAACATCTGCGTGGCATGCTCACAGTCTCATAAATGGCGACAAAAAGCGGCACATCTTGCTCGCCGGTTTCTCGAGGAGGCGGTGCCAAGATGGATGGATGGATGTGGCTGTACAGATCGGGCGGCGGCTAACGCCACCTAGTCATAATAAGTAGGGAACTAACCACTAGTTCTCTTTTTTTTTTTCCTTTAAATAGTAAAGATGAGGACTGGTACTTTGCCGTGAAGCAGTTTAATTTTCACTCATGCCTTGACTTTAGCCACCAATCAGACAACCTTCTTCGAATAATTCTGCCCGCTTAAAGTCCATTTTGCCCTCCCTGTCACTAAACCCCTGTGCTTTGAAAAACTCTGTGCCGTTATCCTGAACTATAGGATGAAGCCATTTACAGAACAATATCAAGTGTTTGGCAGTTTCCTCCTCCTCTCCACATGCAATGCATACCGTGTCTACCTCTTCGTATTTGGCCCCATATGTCTTCGTTCGCTGTACTCCCGTCCTGGCCTCAAACAGTAGAGAACTACCCTGGGTATTATCATAGATCCTTTCCTTGGCAATTTCCTGCTTAAAAGTTCGATAGATCTCTAGTGCGGACTTGTTAATTATGCCAATTCTCTATATGTCAGTCACCGTTTCCTTCACTTTCTTCTTAACTGATAGTTCTTTTTGGTTTGGCCACCTGCTGTTTTCTAAGTAATTACCAGTCAATTTCCTTGGTTCACTTGCTCCTTTTTGTATCAACATTCTTCATGTACAAGTAGCTGAAAACCTTCCTAGCCCAACGCTCCTCCCCCATTTCTCTCAATCGCTTCTGAAATTTTATCTTGCTGCTAGCTTCCCTGCTCTCAAATGATGTCATCCCATATCACCTTGTACTCCCTGATTTGGTGTATTCTCGTGAGCTCCTAAAGCAAGCCTACCTATTCCACGTTGCTTAATTTCTAATCTTGCTGTGAACTTCTGATCTCATGCACAAGACCGCATTGCCGAACGTCAGACCCGGAACCATGACCCTTTTCCATATTCCTCTCACAACATCATACCTATTGTAATTCCGCAGTGCCCTATTTTTCATCACCGCTGCATTCCTGTTACCTTTAGTCAGTCACGTATATTTCGTGTTCCCTTAGGTACTCGGTCCCATTGCTTATCCATACGCCCAGATATTTGTATTTATCTGTTATCTCTAGTGTGACCTCCTGTATTCTAAGCTCACTACCTTCAATATCATTAAAAATCATGACTGCTGATTTTTCCTTAGTGAATCTGAAATCTAATCTATTTCCCTCATTACCGCAGATGTCCATCAATCTCTGCAAATCTTCCTTGTTGTCGGCCATTAGCACTATATCAACTGTGTAAATTAATGCTGGTAGTGCCTGATCAATGAGTTTTCCTTGTCTGACGAAAGAGAGGTTGAAGCCAAGTCCACTTTTTTCTAATTTGGCCTCTAATCCTTGCAGGTACATCATGAATAACAAGGGTGACAGAGGACTCCCCTGCCTAAGCCCCTGTTTCACCTCTGTGGGCTTGGATACCTGTTTTTCCCACTTTATAAATACCTTGTTACTTTTATAGATTTCCGTTAAAATATTAGTGACTCCATCTTCCACACCTAGTGTGTCCAGTATTACCCCAAGTCCTCTTGAACTACACTATCGTACGCTCCCTTAATATCTAAAAATGCTAGCCACAGGGGCCTGAGTTCCTTTTCTGCTATTTCGATGCTCTGCGTCAGTGAGAACAGATTGTCTTCCGACCTCCTGCGTTTCCGAAACCCATTCTGCAGAGTAGACCATCAAAGTAGACCATCATAGAGTAGACTATCATAACGCCATCTAGCAGTGTTTGTATCGCCTTCCCAGCTGCTAGTTTTCCTTCACTTTTCAGTAGAGACCAAAACCGTGCCGCAAGGGAAGCCAAAGTTTGAACGCTATTCAGCTCACGTTTTAATTGGCGTCTACCTCGAACTTTCTGTAATAGCCAAGGCTGCTTTCTCACTCACAACCTAAGATGCCGCTGTTGGCAATGACATCGGAATTTCTATGAAATGACCTAATACCACTGAATGAAATGTCTCTGTTGAAAGAACACAAAAATGCACGCATAAGGTGCCCTTGTGGGTTTGGCGTCGTCATCCATGAGCAGGAGGTGCAGCTCTTGAACTTGGGTTGAGATGTCCAATATTTTTGCAACACGCATAAATCCCCCCCCCCCCACTTTAAAGGCATAAAGGCACAAGAAAAGGAAGCGCATAACCGCTAATGCCATGAATGATTTTACTTAAAGGGACACAAGACCGAAAGTGCTTGGCAGGAATCATAAATGATGGACAACCAATATTTACAACCGTAGTTGTTCAATTGAAGGCTAGAAAATGCAAACAAAACATTCCCGCTATGATGGCCCAAAAGTGCCTAATCACAACACAACTCTTAGGTGTGAACTGTAGTAGAGCCGGCAGGGCTGGCATGGTACGTCATGGCAGTCACTGAATGAGCTTCCAAGATTTCGAGCTACCATGCACTACTCACTTGGCTGGTTTAATGAAAGCGAGAATGCTTTTGTGCTGAAAATTGAAAGTGGGCACACAGCTAACAGAATTTTGGCACTATATTTGGAGGCCCAGAAATTATTCTTGCCAACATGCTTACGACATGTTGCAGCAGTTAGTGCAGCTAGAACCATGCAGTGAAGGAAACATAAGTGGCACAGCAGTGAAGATAGCTCACTTAGCATTGATGTTTAACAGATCCCAACTATCACCAGTGGTGTCCATGGGTCATTTGCTTACCTGGCTTCATTGTTGAGTGTCTGCAAAAGAAAAGAGAATATTTTAGCTAAAAAGCATACCAACACATCCACATGCGCAAAAGAAAAGAGAATATTTTAGCTAAAAAGCATACCAACACATCCACATGCTAGAAGTTACAAACATACGAATATACATACTATACAAGCAAGCCATACTTTATTGTCACACCTAAAGACTAATTTACAGATGGGTTTGATTGGGCTATTGACTTTTGTATTTTGTATCTTTAAAAATGATGGATCTTTCTTTTTAGCCAATGCAGATTTCTTTTTTTCTTCATACATATCGAATCAAAGTGTAAAGTATGGGACAAACAGAATAGTCGCCACAATCTTATCTAAATGAGCCCCAGGACTTACGAGATAGCTCCTTGTTTTTTTTTTGTTTTTTTCTCATGAAGTCACAAGCTCACTGGCATGCTGGCGCAAAGCTCGATGATGAGTAGTTTTTAGTGGCGCAAGGGCCAATTGATGGCCAAAGAGCGCCATTTCAATTGACTACAGATATGAACAGTGATATGGTGCGTGGCTGTAAAGGGGCCTTAAAATTTCCTCGCTCTAACGAGGGTTAAAACATGAAAGTAATAAAATCATGACAGTGGTGTGACATGTGTAGTGATAGCGGATGGCAAAATGTCATGATAATAAAACCACGAAGATGTAGTCACCGCAGCCACGACCACTCTATAGAGGTCGTGCTACGGATGACCTCGATATATCGAGTGAAAGCTTTGCATATCTTTTAAAAACGTGAAAAGTGTTTGCAGTTTAAAAAGCGGATCCCTACCGATGAGCATCCCAAGGTGTAGAGGGAGCTGCTGTCGGTAGGGCAGTAAAAAGTGCCTTTTTCTTAGAGCATCTAGCTCGCTGCACTGGACGAGAATGTGGAGAACCGTAAGAGGCTCTCCACATCTCTCACAATATGGTGGATCACCGGTAGACAGAAGAAATGAATGTGTAGAATGTGTCTGTCCTGTTCTAAGCCTTGTTAGTATTACTTCTGTGTGTCGCGATTTTGATAGTGGCGGCCAATAACCTAGTTGCGGCTTAATAGCATGGAGTTTATTATCTGTGTGTTTATCCCACATGCTCTGCCAATACCCCCTGAGCTTTCATTTTATAAAAGGTTTTAAGTCAAGTGCAGGGACTGGTGTTGGTGCATTGGCAGTAGTGACATTGGCGCAAGCAGCCAGATTGTCGGCCAAAACGTTCCCTTGTATTTCACGGTGCCCTGGAACCCAGCAGACAACGACATGCTGTTTTGATGTGTGGAGTGTGCACAGAAGTGAGTAAAGTGACACCAGCACGGGGTTCTTGTGTTTTTTAGGAGTTTTCAGGGCTTTGACCACACTTAGGGAATCTGTGTATATTACCGCCTTTTGTAATTTTATCTGTTTAATGTGTTTCACGACCGCCAGTATTGCGTAAGCTCCTCCTGTGAAAATGCTTGCATTAGGATGAAGAATGCCGGCCTCGGAAAAGGATTGGCCTACCGCTGCATATGACACAGAAGTGTTTGACTTTGAAGCATCGGTAAAGAACTCAGTGCATGTGTATTTACGTTGTAGTTCCAGGAAGTATGTATGTATGTGTGCAAGTGGTGCGTGCTTTGTGGCATCAACAAAAGAGACATGACAGTCTATTAGCTGCCACTGCCACGGTGGCAGATATGTTGCAGGAGCCATCAAACTGTGTTCAAGAAGAGGCACACCTGTTTCTTCAGCCAGGCACCTTACACGCAGCGCGTAGGGCTGCCTAAACGAAGGACTGTTCTCGAACAAGCCAGAACAAGATAAATAAATAATTGTGAAATGGGAAGGGTGTTTCTTGTCTGCCTTCACCTTCAAAAAGTACAAAAAGGACAGAGAACATCTTTGTAGGTGGAGCGACCATTCATTCGAATCCACGTACAGACTCTCCACAGGGCTGGTGCGGAAAGCACCCGTAGAGAGGTGAATGCCTAGATGGTGGACAGGGTCGAGAATTTTCAAGACTGATGGTGTTGCGGACTGATAGATTATAGCACCGTAATCTAGGCGTGTGCGTACGAGGCTTTTATATAGGTTAATTAAACATTTCCTGTCACTACCCCATGTAGTGCGTGACAACACTTTCAAAATGTTCATTGTTTTTAAGCAGCTGTCGCTTAAATACTTGATGTATGGGATGAAGGTTACCTTAGTGTGTAATATGAGACCAAGAAACTTGTGCTCGGTCTTCACTGACAGAGGTTGACCATGCAGGTCAATGACGGGGTCAGGATGGAGGCCCCTCTTTCGGCTGAACAAGACACAAGTGCTCTTTTGCGCGTTGAGTATAAAACCATTCACGTTTGCCCATTGAGATACCTTGTTCAACCCTAGTTGAACTTGACGTTGGCACATTGAGATGTTGCACGATTTGTAACCAATCTGCACATCATCGACATATATGCAGTAAAAAATATTTCGTGGGAGAGACAGGTGCAAGGAATTCATTTTAACTATAAAAAGTGTGCAGCTCAATACACCTCCTTGTGGCACTCCTGTTTCTTGGACAAATACTCGAGATAAGACAGTGCCAACTTGGACACGGAATGTACGGTTGGACAAGTAGCTTTTGATAACTGTCAGCATTCTACCCCGCACACCTAAATGTGACAGGTCTCGCAATATGCCGAAGCGCCATGTAGAGTCATATGCCTTTTCCATATCGAGGAACACAGAAAGAAAAAATTGCTTATGAACAAAAGCGTCGCGACTTTGTGCTTTCGATACGGACAAGGTGGTCAGTGGTAGACCGAGCCTCTCGAAACCCACACTGGTATGGGTCAAGTAGGCCACTAATTTCAAGGAAGTGCATCAGACGCCTGTTAATCATTTTTTCAAAGACTTTGCAAATACAGCTGGTTAATGCTATTGGCCTGTAGCTGAAAACTGAGGCCGGGTCCTTGCCTTGTTTTAGAATTGGGATAATGATGGCTTCCTTCAGGCTGAGGGTAGCTCACCAAAAGACCATATCACATTATACAGAGAGAGAGCTTTCTGGTTTTCAGTGGGCAGGTGTTTTAACGTTTCATATGCCACACGGTCCGGGCCTGGGGCAGATTTATTGCAGCAGGCAAGTGAGGCCTGCAGTTCAGCCAAACAGAAAGGTTCGTTGTATGCCTCATGTGTTGTGGGCTTGCGCTCTAATCTCTGTTTTTCTATTGCGGTTTTGTATCGTCGGAACGCTTCACTATAGTGTGTTGAGCTGGAGACCTGTTCAAAGAGCACTCCGAGAGTGTTTGCCTGGTCTTCCAAACTCTCCCCTTGTGTGTTCACTAGAGAAAGCGAATGTGCTCCTCGTCCTGCCACCTTACCAACCATGCTCCAGACTCTCGACTCATCTGTGTATGAGTTAATGCCCAATACAAATTTGTGCCAACTTTCTCTTCTCGCCTGTCGGACGCGTCCTCCTAGCTTGCGACTTGACGTTCTTAAAGTTTACAAGATTCTCGGCTGTGGGCAAGTCTCTAAGCAACCTCCATGCCTTATTTTGTTTTTTTCGAGCTTCACGGCATTCATTATTCCACCATGGGACTCGTCGTTTGCTTGACGGTCCACATGTTTGGGGAATACATTTTGTTGCTGCATCAACCAAGAAAGCTGTAAAGTAGCATACAGCATCTTCTATGCTCAATGCCGCCATGGCAGTCCAAGATAATGAAGTCATTTTTTGAAACTTTTCCTAATCGGCTTTGTCGGTGAGCCATTTGGGAACTTGTGCAGGACATGTATTTGTTATTGATGTGCTGATAACGATAGGAAAATGGTCACTACCATATGGATCATTAATGACTTCCTATTTAAGTAGAGGCACGAGTGATGGGGATATTATGCTGAGGTCTATTCCGGAGTACGTATGGTTAGCGATGTTGTAATATGTTGGGTCTTTCCGATTCAGCAGGCACGTACCGGAAGAAAAAAGGAGCTGTTCAATCAGGCGACCTGAATAAAAGTTTATCCAATAAAAAAATAAAAGTTTATCCAATAAAAAAATAAAAGTTTATCCAATAAAAAATAAAAGTTTATCCAATAAAAAATAAAAGTTTATCCAATCCAATCAGGCGACCTCGAGCATCGCAGCGAGAGTCACCCCACAGATTGCTATGTGCATTGAAATCTCCCAGGAGAATATAAGGTTCTGGAAGTTCCTCTATGAGGGACTCGAATTCATGCTTTTCAAGACGGTGTTGTGGAGGTATGCAGAGAGAGCAGATGGTGACGAGCTTATTCAAAAAAACTGCTCGAACAGCCACCGCCTCAAGGGATGTTTGTAGTGGTACGTGTGTGCATGCAATCCCTTGATTGACTATAATGGCAACACCACTGGATGGCACATTGACATCATTCCGGTCTTTCCGAAAGATAACGTAGTGACGTAAAAAGTTGGTGTGTTTAGGTTTCAGGTGTGTCTCTTGTACGCACAGCACCTTAGGTGTATGTTTGTGTAAAAGTTCTTGGATATCGTCGAGGTTTCTCAACAGTCCTCTGACGTTCTACTGTAGTATTTGTGTCATTTTAATGTTGTGTGGTGCTGTGTGTACAGAGGTGTTGCGTTAGTTTACAGGGCCTTTTGAGGGCCCTGTGATTAGAGGTTTTTCTTTTTTGGCGCGCTCCAAGGAGTTGCGCCTATCCTTCGGCGTCTGAGGCGCCGGAGAAGTGGGACTTGTATCCATCACCTCTTGTGAGGTGGTGGATGGTGCCTGCTGGGCAGGCACATTCACTGAACTTTCGGACCTAACTGCGCCTGCAGTGGTCCGAGGTTCAGCAGACATTGGGGTCTGCCGGCCCTGTTTGTCAGGCGGCGGAGCAGTACAGGCTGCTCCAGCCGGGGGCGCTGGCGGCACAACCGCAATTACACACAGTGTGACATTCGCGGGTGCTGAGGCATGTGGTGCGGCGCCCCGGCGCGTCACATCTGCAAAGGAGGGATAAGATGGGTAGTGTATTGCGAAACGTTGGCGTGCTTCTTGGAAT